TTTACATATACCCGTAAACCTCCAGCTTGTCCACTCACTCCTTTGTATCCTTTCTTTTATTCTTTCAGAGATATACAAAACTCGCTGTCCAATTGGGCCATTGCGACACCTCAATTCCTCTCTCTCTCTCTCTCTCTCTTTTTTTTTTTTTTTTTTTTTTTTTTTTTTTAAAAAAAAAAAAAAAAGGGCAGCGTTTCCGACGCCAGGGATCAGCAGCACAATCTCACACCGGAAAAGGGGACCCCCGGCTCCTCTAATACTCCCTTGGACAAGGAAATTATAATCGACGCTGGGGTGCTTCCTATAACCCTCCGCTGCTCCCTCACGCAAACCCCTCTCCCCCGGTCCTGGTCGAGTGCGGAGAGTGGCCCCTACACGCTGCAATCAGGTCTGACGCTCTCGTGTCATGTTCGACCCTGCTCCCTGTGCTGTGACCAGCACCAAACCTAAGATCCACACTTCCACTCTCTCCACTTCTTCCTCTTCTTCTTCCCTGCGTTCGCAATGGTATAGCGACCCAACTCGCTCGCCGCGAATGTCGCCTACCTTTCCTATTCCTGACCTCCAAACTACCACCCGCTCGCGACCCGACCGCCAGATCCCCAAACGTCTCTCTGTGTTTGGTGCTCGCTCTCGAAACAGCGCTGCCCCCTCAATCGCTTCCCCCTACAGCTCTCCCGCTTCGTCTATGACCAGCGTAGACACTCTCTTCCGAAGACCTTCTCAGGACGGCAAAACACTCTCTCACGCTACTGGTCCCTCACAGAAAGAAGGCAGCACCTCCAAGTCCTTGTTGTTGCGTGGCACGCGCATACTGAAGCGCCGAGGAAACAAATTTAGTATTTCATCTAGCTTAACTCTAGACGAGGAAGACGAGATGACTAAAGGAACTCACTCCGGATCCCAGAGACTGGATGGATCAGGTGTCTTCTATCGTAGCCACAGAGCGCGACACAGCGATACCCGTAAGTCGATACTATATATTTCATACATGTATCAAAAATACATATGCATGAATACAATGCTTTCGGGCAATAACTGACTGTTTTTCTTTTGCCCTCCGCTATATAGGTGACTTAAAACGGAATATCTCTGACCCCTTCGACTTCCAGCATGTTACACACACCTGCCCTGGTCAATTGCCCGATTTGGAGAATAGTCAGCTTCTTGATATAGCCACGGAACTATCTGTTATCAGGGCCTCACAGCGCCCTGTCAGCGAACTGAAGGGTATTAGAGCTGAAAACTTGCATTCACAAAAATATCCGTCCGATGCTATCTCCTCCAAACGTGACGCCAGCTCATACACAACAGGGTTGAAGTCTCAATATGCCTGGAACCCTCCACGGTTACATAACTCACAGACTTTCCCCAATTCGCTTTCCAAGTTGGGACCAACTCGAGATTCTCGATTTATTGAAAACTTCTCTCGTCCGGTATCCCGGCTATCCAGACAACATTCGTCACCGTCAATGGTCGGTCCTCCCCGCTCGTCTTCGAAGTTGGCAACCCCGGATATTCCAGAGCCATCACCCCAGACCATCGATGCCCTGCTTGGCCTCCACTCGACATTGGCGGTCCCGGAGACTTTATACGAAAATTCACACCAGTCAACCTTGCCGATGCTGGTTTTCCCTAGCGATTTCCCTGATGCCGGGAATGCACCCATTGCTGAGGATGGTAAACCTGCTACGGCCCGATCTCCAACGTCAACTACCCACGCTTTTGATCTCACAGACGTTCTGGAGGAAGACGAGACCGTTGTATTTCGCCATAGTGAGGCGCACCACTCGGTGCCTGCAACTGACTCCGAACCTTTCCGCTTTGGTCAATCCACTTCCCGAGTGAACATCGATAAACCGCTACCTGGCCTGCCTGTGCATATAGATTCAACTTCAGATGTGCTTCCTTCTCCTACAATTCCAACCAATGGAACCCCTTCTAATGAATATTTTGATACCAAGAAGAGGGAATCCAGGAAACGGATTTCAGTTATGCTTCGACCCACAGATGACTTAACATGGGAGGACGATATTGATTATTGCTATGAGCATGCTGCTGAGTCGAATTCAAATTTTGACTGGCACCGCACATCGTTTGAAGAGCCTGAGGTGAGAGCAAGATTCGAGAGGCTTGCTCCTGATACGTGGCCTGAGACTGTCATTTCCAAGTGCAATGACACTGAGAATCCCAATGGAGTTGCGATACCCGCTGTAAACCAAAATCAACAGAACCTAGATGAATCGGAACAGAGTGATCAGACCGTTGTCGCTGGCTGTTTGGTTTTAGAACAATCCTCCTTTCCCGCAAAGAATGGAGGTATCAGCCCCATTACTACGAGAAGTATTCCGGTCTGTCTTGAAAGTGATTCACTGGCACAAAATGGCTACTTCAGATCTGAGCATGTGCCAATTCTCTCAGCGTCATTTGACGACTTCTCACCCAACCAGTCTTACGATAGCTTCATCCCCAACGACCCTAAGTTCGACGACGGCTACCCCCTTTACACTCAGACTCCCGTAGTTGAATCATTCGATTCTTCCCATGGAAGCAGCTCGCCAATGAGCAAGTACAATTCCCAGGAAAGCATTATTTCTCACGCAGCATCTGTTGCCCGAAAACATCATTCCTCACTCTCCACAACTAGCGTTCCCGATCTAGTTCACAGCCCCAGCTGCAGCCTTTCAGTTGTGGACCGTGACTCCATGTCTTCCACTGGCGAACAGCCTAAGCAAAGTATCTCCCTGGCCACCCCCATTTCTCACCCGCTTATCCATCAATGCAGCAAAAGTCTTACGCGTGAACTTACCCAGCGACGAATTCCTAGCATCTCCCCAAGTGGCGGAGATTACAGTTCTGACATCTCACCGCACGTGCCCATGGCACCGGTACATGACCGTGCCAAGTCTGCGTCTGCCCTTGACATGCTGGACACTTACTCGTCGAAGAATAAGGTGCCAGAGGGCAGGCGGAAACGGTCTGCTACCGTTACTCGTGGGCCGAGTGGTCAGAAGACGCGAAAATCGTATTCACTTTTCCCCACCGCGGTGGCAGGTCCTCCTTCGCGGTAAAATAACAACAGCAACAGCATTATGCATCAGGAAAACACACAAACACAACACAATATCAAAACCATGTTTCACCATTGAGACAACGTGTTGACTGCTAATTCCGTCCCTGTGGCACACTTTAACACTTGGAATATACGCCATATCGAACCATTTTCTCCAGTTCTACGTACGATATATTCTCTGTATCCCTGGATAGACGTGGCCTTGCCACCTTTTGTCGTTCTCCTTCTCTTCTTGCAACTGAAATTTGATGTATCACAACAAAAGTTCGATTTCTTGATTGCTCTCGTTTTACTGTCTCTTTTTCTCTTCTCTCTCTCTATCTTTCTCTCTCTCTTTTGTGTTTCTCCCCTTGCATGGTGTCTTGCATCTTGTTGACCCTGGCATTACATACGACGACCATTTAACCGCAATCCTTTCTCGTTCACTTTCTCATCCACATGCCCCCTCTGTACCTTTGTTCATATCCAGTCGATATACCCACTGTCGTTTACATATCCATACGTTCATATCATGAGCCCACGATTTGCTAACATTTCCTATTTATACATAGTTTCATCTTTGCATTACATATTTCCCTGCCATTCTGGTAATGTTTTTTCTCTTTATTTTTATTTTTATTTTTTATATATATATTTTTTTTATCTTGGTTTTGGCTCTGTCTGGCACACAAGTCCTCCTTTGCTTCTCAACTATCTTGTCACCGGACTTGTTACTTGAAATTGGTAACATCGTCCGCGCCAATCTTTTCTTTTATTAATTTTTATGAATGCATATATGCGCTTTCAATTTACTTTCACTTTCATATTGTGTCATTTCCCCCTACTTTTCTCTACAATTTTATGACATATATTATCAAATGGTCGGTCGGGGCATTCTTCACTTTCCTTCTTTGACACCAACTTTCGTTCCCTTTTAAATATTTCACTCATTTGTATCCCTCTTCACATCTCTTGTTTGTAGCCTTTTCGGTTCACGTCTGTATGGCTTGGTTTTGGGGTGGTTTGGGTGAATTCGGTGGTTGGCAAGCGGATTGTTACATAGGGACTTTGTTGGCATTTGTGGTTCTTTTATATACTATTTTCGGGTTTCCCTCTTGAGGCAATGAGGGTGAAGATCGGGCGGGGATATTATTCATCTTTAAACTAAAAGAGAGCGGACAATAAATACCACTCATTTTCCAATTTCCCTCACCCTTTCTCTTCCTTTCCTTTTTCATCTGGTACAAATGTCTTGGTTTAGGATCTATTTATCGCTGTGGTTTTATAGCATGCACTATTACCTATATATAGGCTGGATGGATGGGAGGCATCAAGCCTTGTTTAGTTTCAATTTTGGTCTGGTATGATTTTACTGGGGCGCGATTGCCTTGTTCGTTTTGGTAAACGGAGGTTTTACTCGTTCGCGTTTTGTAAGTTCATTTTGTTTTTACATTTTCTTCACATCTAGAATGATTTTATCTTTTGAGTTTATATTGCTTGCGTATGGATCAAACACTGGGTTCGATTGGCGGCCCAATCTATTTCACTTGGACAAATATCTATGCTCAAAAACAATTGATGTTTCTTTGGACATTTATTTACTCCTTGCTTTCTTGTGCCTTCCCCGTGAGTTTTTACAAATAAACTTCCGGGATCAAAAGCTTATTTCAGCCTCGTTTATTCACGTGACACATTTGCCGCCACACCTTCCTTACACACCTTCCCGCCCGGCCGTCATCAACAGCCAACAACGGTTCGTAGTTCTCAACTACTTCAACTACATTTGCACCCATAACGCCCATTCACCCATATCTTCCCACCCCATTAACTCTCTCTTTACCCATGCACTCTATAATGTATCATTCTCATTAACCCCGACCTTGCCTCCACACAGTCTTCAGCATATTATCTCTTAGTTTTTAGCCTACAACTACATATCCACCCAACCATGGCCCTCTCAACACCCACCACAACCGCCTCCTCTCCATCCCCGTCTCCCTTCCTCTCACAATCCCAATCCCTGATAAAACGCCCCTCCTCCGCTTCAGATGCTCTTATGATGCCTCCTCCCCCTCCCCCGAAACGCATAAAACGACCCGCCACAGTCCTCGACGAAGACGAATACACCGACGCCCTCTCTCACATCATCGCCCGGGACTTCTTCCCCGGCTTGCTGGAGACTCAGACACAGCGCGAGTACCTGGATGCTCTCGAGTCGCGCAATAAGGAATGGATTAAGCTTGCGGGAAAGAACTTGGAGGCAGTTATGACGCCGCGTGCCGGTGCTGGTGCTGGTGCTGGTGAACGAAGGCGTGGAAGTGCCACGGCAACGAGGTTTGAAAGGTTAGGGAGTGCGATTCCTATGCGACCAGGCCTATCGTCCAAGGCAGCAGTAGGCGATGAGACCCCCAAAGGAAGTACTCAGTGGGCTGGTGGCGATACTCCGATGTCCGTCGTGGGTTCGACGACATCTTATTCGAAACGAAGTGAAGAGGGGGATTCGGTTGTGGATGTGCGGAACATGAGTCTCTCTGCATTCCAAACGAAATATACTAGCGAAGACAACGAGTCATTTTATAAGTTGCTTGATAAACAGAATATAAAGAGGAGAGAAAAGTATGCGTGGATGTGGAATGGTAATAAGATCTTGACGCCTAGGCAGATTGCGTTCAGGAAGAGGGAAGCTGAGAGGACAAAACGGCTTGCCCCCTCCTCATCGTCGTCGACCTCTTCTCTTGCGGTTTCAGCTGTAGCTTTGGATAGTAACGATAAGGATAAGAAGCAACTCCAGCTCATCACAACGGACCAAGATGCCCGCCCCGCCCAACCAGACGCCTGGGCCTCCAAACCCGAAAATGCCCTCATGTTCATCCCCTCGTCCATAGAAGATACGCATGAGACCATCATACAGAAAGCGGAATCCACTTCCCGCGCCGGCCCTAAACAAGTAATATACAGAAATACCCGTGTCCAAGCAATCCCAACACAACATAGTGCAAGCAGCGATAACCAGTCCATCCCGCCATCTCCTTCCATTTCCGCCATCCGCGACGCAATCGCGGGCCGTCCCCGCTCCACCGGCTCCGAACCAGGCTACACAGGCGGCGAAACACCCCGCGTAAACGGCTACTCATTCGTCGATGAAGAGGAGCCCGAGCCCGCTCTTCAGCCATCCTCCGATGACGAAGATAACTCCGCCTATTACCTCTCCCTCATGAAAATGAACAACGACACCTCCAGCTCCGGCACACCCAACCCTTTCACCATCCGCGAAAATCGTCGTCGCGAACTCCTGCACCACCGCATGGTCGAGCGTGTTGCCTCTACTAAACGCGCAGAGCGGTCTGGAAGGGATATTAAGACGCCAGTGCCCAAGTTCCCGAGTAGCCCCATGATTGCGTTTGGGCGGATTCCTGGTGCTGGTAGCACTCCTGGTCTTGGTGGCGCTGGTATGGGTGCAGGGAAAGGGTTCAGTAAAGCGTCGCTGACGCCTGCGGCGCAGAGGTTATGGGCGGCTGTTGGGAGTACGCCAGGGCGGGGAAAGGGGGCGGGGGTTTCGGGGATGGGGACAGATATGTGGACACCCAAGGCTACGCCGAAGAGGAAGTAGATGTTACAAGTTTTTGGTTGATATTTTGGCTTAGTTATAATCAAAGTAATATGGAGACTCCTTGTCAGTTCATTCTATATACGACGCTGAAATATATGCGTAGATTCCAAGCTCAATTCAAGGAAAAGTAAAGAACTTCTGTTATTCTGTTATTCTGTTTGAATGTATTACAGACTCAGGTATGATATTTCTGATAATTCAAAGTAATACATAGCAATACATAGCAAGTATCTACCTAACATTGTAATTAAGGAATTAAGCTATTCATCACTCAGACTCCTTATATTTCTTTCGGTTTTTCGTTATATACTTTCTTATGCTGTTCATATATGCTCTTTTCTGTGTTATTAACGAACTGATCAAAATCACACTTTTATTGTGCACCTATATAAATTCTAAGTATGTAAACAGGGGCAGTCGAAGGAAATCAAAGAAAAAGAAATATATTAAAATGCACTGTATATATGTGAAGGATAGATTGCTTGATTGATTATGTAGTGATCACTAGCTACGTGGAAGTTATATACAGTGCAGATTACATAAGAAGGTGGATAGGCCTGACACCCCCACTCACTGATGTAACTGTACTCAAGATTACATACAAAAAATAGTTTGTAGCTAGGTATTAGTACATAATTTGACTGGAAAACCCATATTGTTGAAAAATCAGTCATTTCCTCCATATAATCATTTCTGCCTGCTTACTGTGTCTTCTAATATCTGCTGTCATAGAGTGTATCTAGTCACCTCAAGTGTCTTGGTTAGCCTGTCTGCTGCATTCTCAGCAGACAGAATGTAATCAATTGAGATCTTATTCTTGTGGACAAGATTCTGAAGAGTATGGAAGTAGACCTTTTTATGCTTAAATCAGTGTGGAATAGCCTCACTTTTGATCAGTTCAATCACTGATTTATTATTCATCTGAATTGTATATGTCAACTTATTGACTGATGATTTGATCAGACTATCATTATCATCAAGATTATTGAGCTGGAATAGCATGAAGTCAGTATCCTTCAGCAATTCTTAGAGGCAAATAAGCTTATAGACAGCCTCTGATAATATATTATATTCAGCCTCAGTAGATGATTTCAAAACACTTGTCTGCTTGCTGTTTCACCAAGCAATGAGATTTTCTGTCATATAAATGACATATCTGATGATGAAGCAGAAACTCAGATCACAGCTCATTCAATTAGTATCAGTAAATGTCACAAAATCTATATCTGTGTCTTTTCAGTAGAACATATTTATGTCAGATGTGCCTTGTAGATATCTAAGAATTCACTTGAATGTCATTCAATTCTTTGAGATAGAGCAGGAGCTGAATCTTCCTAGAAAGTCAGTGATGAAGTTTATATCAGAGTATGTGTTGACAGTGAGATATTGCAGAGAGTCAAACTCTGATTGATAGAAATATAATGTAAATTCTACTGTATAAGCAATCAGTTCTTCATTATCACTCATGGAATCAACATTCTCCTTCATAGAAGAGGATGTTGAATGACAGTCATTTATTGAGAATTTCTTAAACAAGTTCTTTATGAACAGTAATTAGGACAGTGATAAAGATTCAGCATTCTGATCAATCTTCATTCTCAAATACCAGTTTAATTTACTCATATTCTTGATCTCATAATTAGTGATGATCTGGGCTTTTGTCTATTCAATATCTAATATATTTGAGCTGTATAGATGAACATCATTTATATAGATGATTATATAGATCTTGCAGATGTCATTTATGAAAAAATCAGCATCATGAGAACTGATGTGAAAGCCTGTTTTCAATAGCATTTTTCACAGCTTCTCATATCATAATAGTGCTGCTTGCTTCAGGCCATATAGTCTCTGCATCAATTCACATATCAGATTATCACATCTCTTATAGAACTTTGCAAGTTGATGTATATATATATATATTCATTGATGAGAAGCCAGGTATTTAAGAACACTGTAATCATATCAATCTGCAGAATGTGTCATTCTTGAGATACTGAGATTGCTATAAGTGCTTAGAAGATGAAGGCCAATACAACTGATGTGAATGTCTTTGAATAGTTGACATTCTTTTCTTGATAATTGCTGCAGACTACTCAGCAGACCTTATATCATTTGATTCTACCTGTATTATTAATCTTTTTATCAAACACTCATTAATTATATAGAATCATCATATCTGAGATTCTTTCAACTAGCTGCCATGCATTAATCTGCTTGAGATGATTAATCTCTTTAATGCAGACATAGAAGTAATATTTTCAATTTGCAGATATCTGAGCCTGAGTGAGGTTCTTTGAAACTGACAAGCTGATGATCTTAGAGTCTACAGAGATGTCAGTCAAATTGTTGATGAAATTCCTCACTGAGATCTCTTTCACTGAAGTAATATTCTCAGTGAGCATTGAAGAATCCTCCATCTCAAAAGCAGATTCTGAAAGGGCAGTAGTGTTTCATATCAAAAATGTTGAAATTCACACAGTAATCTCATAATCTATTCATCAATTATTTGTAGAGTATAGAAATACTGAAGGGATAAATAGAAACTTCTCATTCACTATGAAATTATCTATTGATAAATCACATTGAGTGGAGGAGATTGCAACTGCAGCCACACAGGCAGCAGAAGATAGATTCTTGATATCTTGCTCAGATGAGGTCAGAGAATTTGTCAAATAAAAATCTTCTTAAAATATTACATCTTTTGACATATAAACATGATCATTAGAAGGATCAACTAATCTATAATTAGTAAAGTTATCATAGTCTGTAAATATAAGCTTCTGTGATTGTGAGATCATCTTCATATTCAGCTTGAACACTATTTTTAAATAAGCCTTACACTTTCATCAGTAAATCCTGTGTGTGGAGAGCAAAGCCCTGAGTCAAGCTTCATATGAGATAACTGACTTCAGATCCAGATCCTCTACACTGTTATAGAGCTTGACTGATGTTGACATAAGATTAAGTATTTCAGTCACTGTAATTACCACCTTATCCTACATCTGAGGAGAGGAGAAGAAATCTATTAATAACATTTAAGCTTTTTCAATAATCAGGCCAATAGAATATTCAGACACACCATCTTACTGTGAAGTGTGAAGTGAGATTGATTCTCATTTAATACTCTCACTCATCATATAGACAGCTGCAGTATTTGAATTCAACTTATTATGATCAGAGTGAATAATCACAATACTGTGATTGAGCAGATTCTTCATAAATTGATTAAAGGTCTGTATATATTTTAGAGTTTCATTGCAGTGCTTCAATAAAAAAATCCACTGCATTTGTGTGGCATTGTGAGTGATTATCATCACAAGCTTCTTGCCTGCATAAGATGATGTATCTTCTTCATTACTAAGCATTTCTCCACTTTCAAATAAATTCACTTAGATCTTAAGACCTTTGTGAGTGGCACAATGTAGTGAGGCATTTTTATAACTTGCACATTTATACTTGACTTTAACATACATGGTGCAGAATGAGAGCTTCTTCAGACTGATAATGATGATTCTGAAACAGAGCTCTCATGACATTTTAATTAGATTCTTCTCATCAATATGACTCAATCACTGATGTCACTTGTCAATCAGTAGCTGCTTTAGCATAATGATTAATAGTCAGATTGATGAAGATAAAATGAAGATATCAGTATTCAGATTCTTTAGATTAATTAGCTGCTCCACATCATCACAGTTGAAAAGACTCAGTGATGCAGTGTTCAAATCATAATTTGTTGATATCACTCTAGGCTTTGAGACTGTCAAGTATACCAGTAATCCAAGCTTCAGATCATTTATAATACCTCTGAACATAGAGAGAGTGTCAGATAAAATATATATATTATTGAAATTCAAATTCATATAGAAGATGTCATCTTCTGTAGATGCTATTATCTCAAAGTAATTTCCAGCATTCACCTGCAGATTATAGCAAATATAGCTCTGTGTAGAGGATTAAGCTCTAAGAACTAGAGACTAGTCCTTCTATATAACAAGGACGAATTGCTTGGGAAAGGGAAGAAAAGAATGAAATAAGAATACAAGCTTAAGCAAGCTCATATAGCATGATCACATGCATACATGCAAACAATGGCTAGGCTGAGTCAGCCAGCCAGAGTAAATCTAGAGGTTTAGCCTCTTATAATACCCCCTTTTTTCCTTTTTGTTGTGGGCCTTTATGACTATTTAAAGTTCTTTTTACATCTAATTTTGCCTGCTAAGAGGCCTCCTAAGTGTCCAAAGCCTTTATTTTTTATAAGAGACTCATGTCATTTCATGTAGACTCAGCTCAATCTACTCATTTAACAAGATATTACTTTTTTCTCTGATAGGTTCATTCATCTCAAATTTCCTCAATCTCAAATTTAGATTCTTCTGGGATCTCTATAGTGAGTGACTGCTAGTCAATTTGCCTCTGACTAGACAGAGGATCTGTTGCTGCAGCATGTAGAAGCTTTACATTAAAGATATTGTGAATGTCAGATGAGATATTCAGTCAGTAAGTATGAGATTCTATCTTTTCTAGCATAGTATATTGATTGTATTTCATGTTCAGCTTCTTGCATGAGTGATTAGTTCTCATGTTCTCTAAGCTCAATCAGACTTTATCTTTAGATTGAAAGCTTGAAGCTGGGTCTCTTCATCTATTCACATAGTTCTTTTGAGATTGCTGAGCATCTGTCATTTTTACTTAAACTCACTTCAACATTTCACAGATCTTTCTCATATAATCATCTGCAAATTCAATGAGATTATGTGATGTTTCGACAGAGAGTGCATCAGCTATATTAATGAAGGAGACATGAAAAAGATGTGTTAAAAAGAATGAGCTCATGCCTGTTAAGGCAGCATCTCTATTATTGATGATCAGCTTTGCTAGAGGGAGTCATTCATGCCAGTCATCCTGTTGAAAGCTAATGTACTTGCATAGATAGGTTTTCAGGGTCTGATTCATTCACTCTGTAGCTCTATCAGTCTCTGAGTGATAGACTGTGA